TTAGTTCTATCATTTTGTGACCTGTATTACGTGTTTGGGTTTTAAGACTATATCAACAATCTAACATAAATACTATAGTTTTAAAACTATTAAATTGACATGATGCATGGAGTTTTCGGTTCTATTATCTTGTGAAACTAATATTACGTGCTTGTTTTAAATACTACACCACAAAAAAAGATTGATTACATTACTTAAACTAGATGAGTACGCGCGCTATGCGTGGATTTTTGTTTTATAATATAGTTTATTAGAAAGTTTAGTTATAATTTATTTTATCGTATATTTAAATTTTATTTAAGGATGTTGTGTATTTGAATAAACATGCAATAAGTATATACGTATTATGTAGATATTGACTATATATGTGATAAATAGTTTATTGATCATGAAATATGAAATATGTTATGCCTTGTATATATAGAATAAATTAAATAGATATACTGTAAATTAGAAAAGTACTATATAACAAAAAAGTAATTAAAGAAACTCTTTAAAGCACAATATAAGTAGAGACGACTCTTTAGCATGTCGTATTTATTCTTGGCACAGATTAATTAAACATTTCTAGGCACTACTTTTTCGGTCATATTTATCAAACATATAAAAACCAAAATAAATATATTTTTAATTAGCACACAATTAAAAAATGAATAATTAATTGGTCTAACTTTAATTATATCATAATAATAATTTATTAATTACAAAATTTAAAATGACAGATGTCACTTTATCTAGTGCTGATATGACACTCAACTGGAGAGAGTTGGCTATCTTTTATATTATAGATAGATTGTATCACAAAACTAAATGATATAAATTTTAAATTACTTATTAATAAATGATACAAAATCTATGATTTAATATCATTTATCATAATTGATGCTTTTATTGATTATTTAACTTTAGTTTAATAAAATTGATACAAATTTATATTAATTTACATCACTTAAATAAAATTGATATAAAACTATGTATTCAAACCAGTTAAACAATCGATGTAATCAATAACTTTGGTTAACATCATTTAAAAAATGATATAAATTTTATATCAGTTACAACTGATGTAACTAACTTTTTGTATTTTGTCCCACATCGCTAGTTGATAAAAAAATGAGAGCGAAAACATGCCTATATATATATATATATGAAAACTTAAGTACCTAATATTTATATTTAGTAGCCAATAAAATTAATTTCAAATTTTTTGGTCTTTCAAAAAATTATTGATGCATAAAATTTTGGATTAAAATAATAATATTGTTATTAATATTTATGAAAATAATAATAAATTTAAATTATTTTTAATATCTAAATATAATCATAATATTAAACTAAACTAATTTTAACATCATTTATTATAATCATCACAAATACTAATATCATTAATAAAAATTGATGCAAATGATAACATCAGTTTTTTGTAATTGACATATATTGATATAGATTTCAACAATTGATGCAAAAATAAAATATATTTGCATTAATTGATAGCTAACTGATGTTACTTATTTGCATCACCACATTCAGAATCAGTTTTACAAGTGATGTAAAACTTGTTTGTATTAATTATAACTAATACAAATATTTAAAATAAGTGATACAATACACCTGTTTTTTGTGTAGTGCTAGTATATATTAGTATATGTGTTTGTAAATTTATTTTAGTTTATTATTTTAAAAAGGTTATTTATTCAAAATAGTTACAAAGTTATAATTTGGTTTTCAAAAAATTATGAATGTAGAGATTATTTATGAATTAACGTATATGTTTGCAAAGTTATTTTATTTAATATTATTCTAACTTTAAATATAGTCTTTTTCTTTTCTTTAATTAAACTAAATGTGTGTGTATTGGTAAAACCCCAGTTTTTGATTTTCGATTCATACGATAAACCCAATTATTGGACTACAACTGTATTGATGAATGTGTTTTAAGAGTAATTCTGAATATATATAATATCATATGAAATCTAAATATTTAAGGGTAACGGTTTCCCACGTTATTTAAAGTACCAAAAGAATGTTAAGATAGTGGGAATATAATCCATGTAAGTAAACGTTGGGAGTTACGATCAGTTCAGTTACTCTTGGCTGTTAGAGACGAATGATCAAAAAGGGTTATCAACTAGGAAAGGGACAAAACAGTGTTTGAGTTTTCCTTTTTTAAAAGAGATACCAAAATCTTAGCTGTGAAGAATATGATACGGACGAATCATGTGATGTCTCTAGAGTACGGCCTTTAACATTTTATTGAGCTGTAAAAGAACTACAATATCACATAATTATTTATATGCCTTTAAATATAGAGATAATATAGAGATATATTATGTGATATATCGTATTAAAGATATATTGATAAATACTTAGACTGTTTAAATCTTGAGCTACAAAAATATTAATTTTGTTACAAAAATATTTATGAAAATTAAATTAAATATTCCTTACAATATTTTAGTTCTTTATAAAAGAAAATATATAATAGTATGATTACTATGATCAAAAATCATTTAAATCTATTTTTTTGTTTGCTTTCTCTATCTTTGTGTTTCTTAAGTTTTATTTTTCTGTATGATTATTATATACGTACTCGAAATATATTTACAAATTAAACACTCCAAGATTAATATGCGTTCAATTTTATAAGTATTTTGTTGAAAGTCCGATGTATATTCATTTGATTGTTGGTTCTCATCGATTTGACATAGTTTTAGATACGCCATACAAAGTTTCCAGCTGCTTCCAGTTATTCAATATTTGCGAAAACTCGAGATCGTGTGATATTATCTCAAGAATTAGAATATTTTGTATGACCACTTGACAGAAAAAGGAAAACTACGTGGTTCCGTTTCAGCCTTATCGTCATATGCATGAAATCGAATCGTGCGATGTCAAGAATCAAGCATCAGACCAAGTTGAGCTTTATTCTCACTTCGATGAATAAGTTTTATGTTAAGTCAAGCTCATCCATGATCAAGAAGATGATAGTGAAGCAGGCACGTAGTATCCCAAAATAAAACAACTGAAATGTAAAGTCATAGTTTTGCCTTTTCTTCTTCAAAAGATTTTAATGGTGGCCCAATTTCGATCTCAAGAGTCGTTTTTCTTATATCACAAGGTTATTATCATTTTCAATCTACGTGATTCACGTACCGACACATATTATATACGTACGTAATATGCTATATCACATTTAATTCTGCAACTGGCCCGTACCGTCCTATAACATGAAATATACATGTAATAACCTAACAAAGCTCTTTATACTGTAGAATCCAATTCTTTACAAACTTTGTTGTAATGGTTAGAATCTTTATATTTTCACGAGGTTGAACAATCATTTCCCCCATCTTTGTAGATGGATAGTGAAGAATTTAATGATGGATTTCTCCAAACTCAAAATTTTCTTTTAACTGATGATAGATTTGTTATAAGATCCATATCATAAGTTTACACAACTTGCAGCAAGTTTTTCACATGTAAGGTAGATAATAATCACGTCTAACATATTAGTGGCAAATAAGATTTGTTCTAAGTAACAGTCGCATATAAGTGTGAATTATTTTTATTTTAGTATTTGAAAATATAAAGTTCGATTATATGAATTAATCACTAAAGAAAGTTAAGGCTTAATATGTCATACCCTCATACCAACTAAAACCATATAGAACAAAGTAACTAAATATTTCTACCTTTTGATAGTAGACTGAAATATATATGATGAAACATCTATAAGAAACTGACGATTAAATTTTGCATTTTTAAGTAAGGTTTGCTTGCCATCTAATACATGATATCTGATATAATATGTTTAATCAACCACATCAATAACATGGTAAAACATTTACAATATAGACTCTATATATTAATACTCGGTAGGTTAAGAACCAAGATAACTTAATAGCTAAGCCCTTTAGCAAAAAAGATAACTTAATAGCTTTTACAAATTGGACTGGTTCAAATATAATACAATTTCCATGACATAATAAGATAAATATTTGTTTTAAAAAAATATAATACAAATATATAGTCTCGGTAATTAATATCATAGATTCAAAAGTAACAATGACTGTATATGAAAAATATATAAATACAGCTAAGCAATTTACGGAAATATGAGTTAAATATTGTTTACTTTCTTTATACAAAATAAGTTGAAGATCACCTCTAATATTTTTATTAATTTCAAAACAAATTGGTGTTTTCTTGTCGAATTGTATACACAGTATAGTATGTATGTCCGATAAATGTAAAACAACCGCATGCGCTGAACCAAAAACCCAATGTCTTGATAAATATAAAAAAATAGATGCAAACCAAATGTTTTTAATTAAATCTAAATACTATTTAAAATTAAATATATTTTAGAAGACTATAGACTACAGAAATTACTTTTAAATTCATAATTTTATATATTAATAAATACTGATATTATTATTTTGTAAGAAAGTTTACTGCTTATTTATACTATCCTTTACATTATCATACCTATTCCAAAAATACAAAATCAAATTTAATTTTTATAATGCAACTTTTGTTCAGTAAAAGTGTTTATTTTTTTCCCCTTTTCCGTTTTTTGTTCAGTAAAGAGTCCAGCTTGATTTCAATCTCGTCACCGATTTATAAGTATATATACCTATAAAATATTTAAATGATTATGTATTATGCTGCATGCATAGATAATAATATGAATTCTGTATATCCCCTTTTTTTATATACCAAAATGGTACTATTTTTCAGTGCGCATGTGTACATTACTTGGATGCATCATGCTGATTCATGCATGCCTCTATGTATATAAAAGTATATAAATATAAACATGGGAAAAGGAGAAATCCAACGTAGCCTATTGTATTGTAAAATATACCCACAGTTTACAAAAATAGGTATCCGCATAATCTATCTTTTCAAAACTTCGATAGACATATATAGCGTTAACACATACATACATTTATGTATGTTTTTGCTTTGTCGCTTTAATTAGTTTCATCAATACATTATTAAAGCCATAGTGCGCCAGCGCGCTTAAGCATTGGAACGAGAGAGCGATTAAGGTGAAGACTCATGACTTGACTTGCTCCTCCCACTAGCTGACCTCCTATGAACACCACCGGCACAGTCGGGCTGCAGCCAAGCTGAGCCAATGCTTGCTCAATCTCCTTTCCTCTGCTGATCTCGTCTAGCTCATATACTGTTGGGTTGACACCAAAGTCTACGAAAAGAGTCTTGATTGTGTGAGACATGCAGCAAGAGTTCTTGCTAAAGATCACTACCGACTTCTCGGAGATCATCTTCTGTACCTTATCCATTTGTGTTATAATGTGAAAGAGTGTTTAATAAGTGACTCGCAGAGAATGAAAATGTCTTTTGTGATTAGAGGGATATATATATATATATAGGGATGAAAATTAGAAAGCAAGAGAACGTTTTTTGAGAAAGTGAGCAAGAGAAGTTATATAGAGCTTTTCGTCGTTGGGTGAAGATGAGAAGTGACTTTGAGTTTCTGTGTTTAATGGTCTATAAGAGTCCTTTATATATAGCTTTCAGGGGTACGTAAGCTATCATATTACGGTTTTAGATTTAATGTAGCTTTTTTCTAAGAGAATTAACTTTAGCACAAAATAAAATACCACATATAAATAAAGAAATTTAAAAAACATTATAAAAGGATAGTGGAGCTATCTGAAAGAATTAGACGTTAAAGAGGCCGGTTCACAATTCACATATTCTTTCATCTTTGCAAACATATAGGTCAATATATAGTACGTTCCATTTTCATTTATGGGTAAAACGAAACCTGTTAGATGTCTTTGATATATAGTACGTTCCATTTTCATTTTCAGTATCAAAAGACATATTTTTAACAAAAATACATATTTTTCCTATCTTAGCATGAGAAAAGATCCAGTTCAAATGTTTGAGGAAGCATGCTCTATGAGTGTCCAAAGACTTAATATGTAACGTTAATTCGTTGAAATCCATTTCCTCGAGCCAGCCAACGGACTGGGTGGGGCTCGAGCCAAAGATAAAAATAACTAATAAAAAGCATATATTAAACCGTTAATACGCCTATAATATTTTTCCATGATATTAAAAGTTCAATACCTCAAGAGTTAAGAGTTAAGACTGACCGCGCTAATTGCCGACCATCCTCATGGCGAATTCTTGTTCTCAGTTTGAGTACCTAAAGATCATTTACGTGTGTGGACCAAATTTAGTCTCTACCAAGTGAATCACACCATAAAAATTGATAAAATATAATACCACAAAATAATAAATTATTGGGAGTTGTCAAAATTCATTTTATATCGGTTGACATGTATTTGTTATATAAAATCAATTTACAATATTCTGTTTTGGTAGAATAATGGAAATTGTAAAATTTAAGTTTAGTATATCTTCACGTCAATATTTAATTTTATTCATCTGTATTTTATTTATTCATTCAAATTATATATTTTTTTTGCGAAATTTAAGCCCTTTATGAAATTATTAAGTTCAGCCATATACATTTTTATATATACAATATGTTTTCATTAGTAGATGACACGCATGCGAAATTTTAATCGTATATAATACCAAAATGAGCTATTTCCATATAGAGTATTAGATCATCAAAGTATTTTAATATATACATTTTATAATAAAATATAGTATCCAAATAAATTATTTGCGAAAACTAGAGGTCGTGTGATATTATGTCAAGAATAACATAATTTTTTGTATGCCCACTTGAGAGAAAAAGGCAAAATATGTGATTCCGTTTTAGCCTTATCGTCATACATGAAATCGAATCTTACGATGTAAAGAATCAAACAAAAATGAGCTTTATTCCCAATTCGACGAATAAGATTCTTGGAAAGTCAAGCTTGTGGCCAAGAAGATGGGGATGATAGTGAAGTAGTCACGTGGTATATCCCAAGAAAATCCAAAACAAAAAAAACAAAACAAAACTGAAACTCATAATTTTGCTTTTTTCTTCTTGCAAATATTAAACGGTGCCTGGCCCAATTTTGATCTCAAGAGTCGTTATTCGTATATCACAATACAACGTCGTCATCTTTTTCAAGCTACGTAATTCACGTACCGACACACACACACATAGATATATTTCTTTTCAAATTAAGACGTACGTACCGACACATATATATATGTACGTGATATGCTAAATCACATCTAATTCCGCAACTTGCCCGTACTGTCCTTTAACATGGAATCCAATTCTTTACACACACTGTTGTTTTAACTGTAATTGATTCGCCATATCCCAAATTAACACAATTTGAAGCAAAACAAATTAGTTGTAATTAACTACTTAAAAACCACGCCTAACTTGTTAGCGACAAATATTGTTTTTAGGCTTTAGTAACAGTCGCATATTAGTGCAAGACTTTCTATATAAATTTTATACGCATCTATATATGGAGGTCGATTATATAAAATTACTATTATGAACAATTTCGAGTAGTAAAGGCTTGCCATTCCGTACGAATTGAAACGGCCAGATCAAATCAATTAAAAGTAGTTCTGCCTTTTGTGGCTATATTTACGTCTACATGCAAAGTAAACAAACAATTTTACATGTTTAGTATGTTAAGTTCTGCGCAGAACAATTTTACACGCATGCGTGTCATCTACTATGTGATGTATTTTCTATAATTGATATAATATTTTGAACCGACCATCAATTAGCAGGTACGTAAAACATCTGATTATTAGAAATATTTTCTCTAGCTAGTAGTACATTTTATCGAATCTTTATTACATCTACTCCAAGTAATTGATTAACTATTTAATTACTTTCAGAAGCATTGAGTTTGTTGTGTCCGGAATAGTCAATCGACAGCTTTTTTAGGGAATTTTTGTTTTTGTTTTTGTGAATGGATATATTAAATTTACCAACGAAAAAACCAGTGTTACAGAGAAAATTTTTGAGGGTTTAGAATCAAAAGGAAACCTAAGTCTACTTTACATCAGAAACTTTAACTTTGCATTAGAAACCATCGCTGCAGTCCCTCTGTGTAGAGCTTATCTCTTAGAGTCTGAAATATTGAAAACCTGCTTCGAACTTGCTTATCCATTCGTAGAAAGAGTTGATTCGGGGGCGTTGGAGGTTCCCCATGATTTCATCCGTTTCTTTTACACCAGATCGTATGGATCGCCGATTGAAACGCATATCGTAGTATGAACTTAGATAAGTGGCTTCGTGAATCATCCAGTAGGAGCTCAATTATCTTGTTCCACTCTTCTGTATAGTCCCTCAGCAGCAGCTGATGAACAAGATTTCTCCATATAGTCGCAGAGTAGCTGCATTTAAAGAAGATATGATTCCTGCTTTCCACCGAGTGATTACAAAACACACATGAAGCCCATGCACCTACATTCCATGCCTGCATTCTGTCCTTAGTAGATAGCCTGTTGCGAATTGCCAGCCAAGCTACAAACGAGTACTTCGGGGTTGAGTACTTAAACCAGATTCCCTTATACCAGTCACAGCGTGGCTTTTCCTCCCTGATAAGCAAACATGTGTCTTTTGAACTGAATCTCGGTTTAAACGTATCTGCAGCCTGCATCCATATCACCCTATCCTCTCGGTTTATGTCCAAAACTCCCTGAATTGTCTCGATTGCATCCTCTATTTGATTGTAGATGTCTATACGGTGGTTTATCCTTCTATGTGTGGCAAGAACAGAGGCAATCGTTGAATTAAGACTCACCCCCCAGTCCACACATCCTCTGTTTCCAGCGAGTTCAAATAAACAGCCCATAGGGGCCCAATTATCAAACCAAAAGGATGTACTTGCCCCGTTGTTGACCTCTACTCCTGTAAGCGGTTTGGCCACTTCTCTGTACTTCAAAATCTTTCTCCACATCCAAGATCCGAGAGAAGCGTTCTCTTTTATTGACCAGAAGGATCCCTTTCGAATTAAATACTTATCCAGCTAACCCATATTGATGAACGTGCTGAGAGTGTTCTCTAGATAAGTTTCAGAAAGCTCAGGTTGCTCGCTTCTTTGATATACCGTAACCCCAACCCTCCCTCCTCCTTTGGCAAGCAAACTTCATGCCACGCTATTTTTGCTTTCCTAGGATTTAGATCGGGATCTGACCAGAGAAAAGCATAGCATAATTTGTCAATTTTCTTAATGCAGGCTTTTGGTAAATGAAAAACTGAAATCCAGAAAGTTGTTAGGCTTGAAATGACTGATACTATTAGCTGTAAACGTCCGGCAAAGGACAGAGATCGGGCAGTCCATCAACTTATTCGTCTCCTGACTTTTTCTAACAGCGGCGTGTAGTCGCTCACCCTCATCTGTTTTGTTAATAATGAGAGACCAAGATATCTAACCGGAAGTACTCCTATATCAAAAGGAAAAATAGCCAGAATTGCATCCTTTGTGACCACGGGAACCCTGCAAGGTATAGCGTAGATTTTTCAAGACTGATGTTGAGACAAGAGTAGCCTGCAAACTTCTTGAAAACCTCGAGAATCCCCTCTATAGATCTCTTGTTTCCGTCAGAGAAGACTAGTAAATCATCCGTAAAGCAAATGTGGGTGAGCTGAACATTTTGACAGTATGGATGGTATCCTATTTTCCTTTCCAAAGCCGCTCTGTCTAGTAACTTGGACAACACATTCATGCAGATGACAAACAGATATGGCGACAGCAAACAGTCTTGTCGAAGACCTCTTGCACTATTAAAATACCCAGCTAATTCTCCATTCACTTGCAGTGAGAAAGATGCTGTGGTCTCACACAAACGGATCCAGTGGATAAATGTTGCAGGAAGATTTAGTACAGATAGAGTAGATAACATGAAAGGCCACTGAACCGAATCAAAAGCCTTGGATATGTTGATTTTCACGGCGCAGCGAGATGAAACTGATTCTTTGTGGTAGTTTTTCACCAACTCCGATGCTAGTAAGACATTCTTCATCAGTAGTTTGTCTTTGACAAAGACGGATTGATTTGGAGCAATGAACTGCGGTAGGATCCTTTTTAGTCTATTTGCCAGAATCTTTGAAATGACTTTGTACAGAACATTGGAGCATGATATTAGCCTATAGTCCTTCATTTTATTGGCCTCTGTAGTCTTTGGAATTAAGGCTAGTATTGTGGAATTGACACCTTTAGGGAGGAACCCCGTCCTAAAGAGTGATTCAATGGCAATAGAAAACTCCTTCCCAATTACTGGCCAAGCTTCTTTGAAAAACTCCACAGTGTAGCAATCAGGTCCTGGAGGTTTGTTAGTGGGCATGGCGAACAGAACTGTTTTTATCTCTTCCTCAGTAACAATGCGGGTTAGA